GCCAGGCCAGTCAGAAAGCTCTGGGGAGATTCACACCGATAGGCAATCTCCATGTGATGACAAGAACAAAGGCATGGCGTTGTGACACATTGTTTACTACTAGGTGCTGGGGCATCAGAGACACATCCCCGCCCTTCCATTGTTTCTTGTTCTTAGGACCCAATGAACTTTTAAGAAAATCTTGATGGAAGAAACCCCTTTATAAATGACATTTATTTCCTGAAAGGTTGGAATAAATGGTGCCATGTCTTTACTTGGCTCTAACAGAACCAAAGACATGTTAATTGATCTATTACTTTAGCAGGTCTCCTATTAGTTTAATTGATGTCCTATTTAATTAGTCTCTTCTTGGTTTAATTGGTCTCTTCTTAGTTTATGGACTCTGCATCACCAGTCCTATTAGAAAGGATGGTGCAGATCATCTGACCCAAACTTGCCATTTGCTACACAAGAAGTAAGAACTTGTTGAATAGTGCTAGCTATTAAGAAGAATAATTATAAAAAAGAATAATTATAAGGATCACTTTCTAAAATCCTTGCCATGACTCAGACACTGCGTTTTCCACTCACCATCTCATTAAATGACCTCTCTCTGTGAAGTGGAATCCACTGGGGATGCTAAAGATGGAGCTCAGGATGTCCGAGATCTAAGGCCAAGCAATCCCCTACCCGCTGGATTTCATCATCATTCTAGCTGAGGATATTGACCAAGAGGATGGGATGTCCTCCAAACCACCAAACAATAGTTGTTTTAGCAGGGCTATGATCCCAGAGCCTATAGTTATATATACCCTTCCCACTAGACTGCCACAAGCCTCAGCTCTGTAGGCAGTTTCTTTCTTTGCTTCACGTAGGAGACCCAAGAAGTGTTTGTTAATCTAGCAACTTCTAGACAAGCAAGTTTTCCTGTGCCTTAGTTATTAGGTAAGGAAACGGGGAAGAGTGGGAAAAGACTGACCATTTAAGGTGTCCTTGTGGTGTGCATCAAGAATGTGAAAATACTCCACCAAGGCCTTCACATTTCTTAAAGACAATAAGCAATAGATTTTGTCCAGATAGAGGTACCACAGAAATGACCCTTGCTTCAATTCGATTCCCATAGGCGTTCAGTAGAGCTTCTGGCTATCCGAGTAGAATGGAGAGTTCTGCCTCAGAATTAGAACACCACACAGAGATCTGAGAGTAACAGGGGGTCAAAGGTCAAAGGAAACTTCAATAAGAACGTGAGATTGCTTTGTCCCAATTCTCCAGCTTTGCTCTACGTATTATTGTTTGGCTTTGTCCCTAACTTCATGATCCCCATCATTAGAATGGCCATTCTAAACAGAAATCACAGGAGGTGGCAAAGTGGCTTACTCCTGTATGTAACTCCAGCTATTCAGGAGTCAGAAAGCAGGGTGACTGCAGTTTGAGACCAGCATGGGTAAAATGCTAGTGAGGTCCCAGCTCAGATTGTAAACTCTGGGTCTGGTGGTCTGTTCCTGCCATCCCAGCTATGAGGGAAGAGTGAAAAGGAGGATTCCAGTCTAGGCTGGCCTGGGCATCAATAGGAGACCCTATCTCAAAAATAACCATAGCAAATGGAGTAGATTTTGCCAAAGAAGTGTGAGGCCCTCCGTGTCACTACTGAAGGAAAAAAAGAGAAAGCAAGTGATACAGAAGACGACTGAGCTATGTTTCTAGTCATTCTGAATGTTCACGTTCAAATGCATCAATTAGACAAGAAGGAAAAGGGAAAAAAATGCACAAAAGTTCCAAAAGATCTAAAATATAGCGAAAGAAAACCATTTTTTTTTGTCTTTTTTGTTAGTCGTGGGGCCTGAACTCCGGGCCTGGGCGCTGCCCCTCAGCTCTTCAGCTATAGACTAGCTCTCTACCACGTGAGCCTCAGCCCCACTTCCAGCTTTTTCTGCTTATGTGGTGCTGAAGAATCGAACCCAGGGCCTCATGCATGTGAGGCAAGTGCTCTACCACTGAGCCACCTTCCCAGCCCCTGAAAAGGAATTTTAAAAGACCAAAGTACAGGGCTGGGAAGGTGGCTCGGTGGTCGAGTGCTTGCCTTGCATGCATGAGGCCCTGTTTGATTCCTCAGCACAGACCAGGAGGCCAGCAGAGGCGGCAGTGGACGTCTCTTTCTTTTTAGGATGGAGAGATGCCAACACGGGAGGGTGAGAGATCGGGGCAGCAGGGCCCCTTCTGTGTCCTCACTGCTCAGGAGGACAGTGCCCAGACCAGCCTCTCCCCACTGCCCCGGCCCAGATGGAAGAGCCCACCTGTAACAGATGTACTTAAGGGGACTCTCTTCCATAAGCACAATTACTATCATCAGACCCAAACATACGCGACAACACTCCTGAGAGAGCAAATGTCCCTAGCTGTTCCTTAAACATCTGAATAGATTATGAGTTCCAGTAAGAAACCCAGAGAAAACTATGTATCACTTACCGTGTACTTACCTCCTTCCTCCTTCCCTTCCTCCCTCCTCCCTTCCTTCCTCCTTCCCTTCCTCCCTCCTTCCCTTCCTCCCTCCTCCCTTCCTCCCTCCTTCCCTTCCTCCCTCCTTCCCTTCCTCCCCTCCTCCCTTCCTTCCTCCTTCCCTTCCTCCCTCCTTCCCTTCCTCCTTCCCTTCCTCCCTCCCTTCCTCCCTCCTCCCTTCCTTCCTCCTTCCCTTCCTTTCTCCTTCCTCCTTCCCTTCCTTCCATCCTTCCCTTCCTCCCTCCTTCCCTTCCTCCCTCCTTCCTTTCCTTCCTTCCTTCCTTCCTCCCCCTCCTTCCCTTCTTTCTTCCCTTCCTTCCCTTACTTCCTTTCCTCCTTCCTCCTTCCCTTCCTCCTTCCTTCCCTTCCTTCCTCCTTCCCTTCCTCCTTCCTTCCCTTCCTTCCTCCTTCCTTCCCTTCCTCCTTCCTTCCCTTCCTTCCTCCTTCCCTTCCTTCCTCCTTCCCTTCCTTCCTCCTTCCCTTCCTTGCTCCTTCCTTCCCTTCCTCCTTCCTCCCCCTCCTTCCTCCTTCCTTCCTCCTTCCTTCCTCCTTCGTTCTTGATGCCAGTCCCGGGGCTTGAACCCGTGGACCAGGAGCTGTCTCTGGCTCAAGCCCCAGTACAGGCACCAGAAGAAAAAGGGGGAGAGCGCAGCACAGACCCGAAGACGGGACCGTGAGCGATGCGGTGACTGCGGTGCTTCGGGCCTGGCGGCTCGGTGCGGGAGGCAGGGCTGGGGGGCGGGAGCGTCCGGGCTGCGGATCGCCACGTCCGGAGGGGGACGGAGCGCGGCTCGGTACCGGGGGAGGAGGAGGACGGAGCGCGGCTCGGTACCGGGGGAGGAGGGGGACGGAGCGCGGCTCGGTACCGGAGGGGGACGGAGCGCGGCTCGGTACCGGAGGGGGACGGAGCGCGGCTCGGTACCGGGGGAGGGGGAGGACGGAGCGCGGCTCGGTACCGGAGGGGGACGGAGCGCGGCTCGTACCGGGGGAGGAGGACGGAGCGCGGCTCGGTACCGGGGGAGGAGGACGGAGCGCGGCTCGGTACCGGGGGGAGGAGGGGGACGGAGCGCGGCTCGGTACCGGGGGGAGGAGGGGGGATGGAGCGCGGCTCGGTACCGGGGGAGGGGGACGGAGCGCGGCTCGGTACCGGGGGAGGGGGACGGAGCGCGGCTCGGTACCGGGGAGGGGGACGGAGCGCGGCTCGGTACCGGAGGGGGAGGACGGAGCGCGGCCCCAGCGCGGGTCCAGCGCAGTGCGACACATTTGGAGAGGGAGACACGGAGAGCTCGGGAGCTTCCGCCGCGCTCCCCGCAGCGGGCTGGAAACAGGCCCGGAGTCAAGGCCAGGACGCGAGGGCGCGAGGGCGCGAGGCGGCGCGAGGGCGCGAGGGCGCGAGGTCCCGACGCGAGGTCCGGAATCGAGGTCCGGACGCGAGGTCTGGAATCGAGGTCTGGACGCGAGGTCCGGCGGCCCCGGCTGGCCGCGGTGAGGCCTGCAGCCCCTGCAGAGGCAGCGGAGGGAGACGCTACCGCAGAGCAGAGCCCGGCCGGCGGGGAAGGGGGCGGCCAGGAGGGGGTCAGACGGGGGGGGCGGGGGCCGAGGGGTCGGGCGGGGGCCGTGGGGTCGGGCGGGGGTCCCACGAGCGCCACGTGGAGTGGAGTGGACTGCGGGCGCCCGGGGCCCCGTCCCCCCCCCCGCACCCCCCGTGCCCCATCCCCCCGTGTCCCCCCCGTGCGCATCGACAGAGCCATGCGCACCCGCGCAGGACGGGCAGCCGTGCTGGGTGACCGCCTGGACCGCGGACGGCGGGAACGGGGACGGCGGGGCCGGGGATGGCGGGGCCCGGACGGCAGGTGCGGACTCCATGGCGCAGACAGAACAGTTATGTCGACTTCCGGTGGCGGGGAAGGCGCTGACCGGGGGACTTGAACTCGGGCCGGGCCTGTCCTCAGGTTTTCTGCGCAAGGCTGGCGCTCTACCCCCTTGAACCACATCGCTTTCTGCTGCTTCACTGAGATCAGAGGCTTCGAACCGTGATCCTCAGAGTTCGTGTGTGTATGCGCACGTGTGTATTGCGCACGTGTGTGTGTGCGCGCGCACTGAAACCGGGGGCTCTGGGAAGCGAGGAACTACAGTGCCCGACGCGCCCCGCGGCGCTGGGCAGGGCTGGGAGCCCGGCTCAGGGAGCGCCCGGCCGGAGGGGGGCGCAGAGGGCGCGCGGCCAGCGAGGGGCACGGGGGGCGCGCGGCCGGCGGGGGACACGGGGGGCGCGCGGCCGGCGGGGGACACGGGGGGGCGCGCGGCCGGCGGGGGGCGCGGGGGCGCGCGGCCGGAGGGGGGGGGCGCGGGGAGCGCGGCCCGAGGGCCCAGGGCGCAGGGGGCGCGCGGCCGGAGGGGGGCGCGTCCCCGCGTAGCCGGGCTGTGTGCGGGGCGCGGCCGCGAGAGCGGGGCGGGCGCAGTGGAGCGGCTGGCTGGGGCTCGGGGGCGGGGCCGCCCTGCGGTTCCGGGAGCTCCGGGCGGCGGAGCCCAGAGCGCGCCTGGCCCGGTCGGTGGCGGGCAGCGCCGGAGCCCGTCCTCTCTGCGGCCCCGCGTCGCAGCCCCCGGCGCCCCCACCATGGCGTTCGCCAATTTCCGCCGCATCCTGCGCCTGTCCACCTTCGAGAAGAGAAAGTCCCGCGACTACGAGCACGTCCGCCGGGACCGCGACCCCGGCGAGCTGTGGGAGATCGTGGGCGAGCTGGGCGACGGCGCCTTCGGCAAGGTCTACAAGGTGAGCGGCCGGGGGGGCGGGGGCCGGGGGGCACCGGGGCCGGGGGGCACCGGGGCCGGGGGGGCGGGGGCCGGGGGGCACCGGGGCCGGCGGGGCGGGGGCCGGGGGGCACCGGGGCCGGGGGGCACCGGGGCCGGCGGGGCGGGGGGCCGGGGGACACCGGGGTCGGGGAGCAGCGGGGCCGGGGGGCACCGGGGCCGGGGGACACCGGGGCCGGCGGGGCGGGGGCCGGGGGGCACCGGGGCCGGGGGACACCGGGGCCGGCGGGGCGGGGGCCAGGGGGTACCGGGGCCGGGGGGCAGCGGGGCCGGGGGACACCGGGGCCGGTGGGGCACCAGGGCCGGCGGGGCGGGGGCCGGGGGGCACCGGGGCCGGGGGCCACCGGGGCCGGGGACACCGGGGCCGGGTGCGGGGGGCAGGGGACACCGGGGCCTGCGGGCACCGGGGCCGGGGGGCAGCGGGGCCGGGGGACACCGGGGCCTGCGGGCAGCGGGGCCGGGGGACACCGGGGCCGGCGGGGCACCGGGGCCGGGGACACCGGGGCCGGGTGCGGGGGGGCAGGGGACACCGGGGCCGGGCGCACCCGAGGCGAGCCAGCGGGGAGCAGCGCGCGCTCAGTCCCCGACTTCCTCTCTGACCCGGGGCCGGGCGCTTCCGGGGTTTGCGTTTGACACCTAGGCCGGGGTGGGGGGGCGCTTTCCCGGGAGAGCGCGCGCGAGCCCGTGGTCCCGCAGTCCCGCCGGCCTCCCCGGCCCGCGCCTTCCCGGTTCCCGCCGCGGCAGCCACTTCCTGGGCTTCACTGCCGACTCCGCCCCGCTGGGCCCCGCGCGGCCCCGCCCGCCCCGCCGGCCGCAGCTCCCCCGACCCAGCCGGACCGGAACGAGCGCGCGCTCAACCCGCGCTCCACCTGCCTGGAACGCGGGCTTCCCCGCGGCTGCGCCCCGCCCGGCCGGGCGCTCACCGGACTCCACGGCCTGGCGGCCGCAGGGCGGAGCCGCGGGGGACCCGAGGCCGGGTGCGGGAGAGGCCCGGCTCCCGCCGCTTCGCGCTGAGCCCCCGGGGTCCCCGCCGCCCCGTGGCTCCCTGCCCGCGGGCGGACCCCGCGCCCCTCGGCCCGGCAGATCCCCAGCCGCGGCCCCGCGGGGCGCTGCGACGCCCGGCCGGAGGGGCCTGCGTGGTTCGGTCGGCGCGGAGACCCCGCCGCCCCGCAACCGATGACCCCTGCGCGGTCCCCGCGGCCCGCGAAAGGCGCGGCGTGCTCGGTCGCGTGCTAGTGCCACCGCACACGCCAGCGCACGTCACCACGCATGTCGCAAACGTCACCACGCTGCCACTGCACACGTCACCACGCATGTCACCGAACGTCACCACGCTGCCACCGCATACGTCACTGCGCTGCCACCGCATACGTCACTGCGCTGCCACCGCGGAGCCCGGCCGGCGTGCACAGCTGGGCGGCCGTGGGACTTGCGTGGATTCCGTGCGGCGCCTCCCGGGCCGCTGCTTATCAGGATCAGGATCCCGAGCCACGCCGCACCCAGGCCCCTTGCGCCTGGCCGCCTGCGCCTGCACCTGGCGTCAGCGGGGCCGCCGCCGCCCTCCCGCGGGGAGCCACGGGGCATGAAGTTGTCCCAGCCTCCGCCTGGTGTGCGCCCGCTCTAACCAGGACCCGTGCTCCACGCGGGCACTGAGACGCCAGGACCCGTGCTCCACGCGGGCACTGAGACGCCAGGACCCGTGCTCCACGTGGATACTGAAGCCAGGACCCGTGCTCCACGTGGATACTGAAGCCAGGACCCGTGCTCCACGCGGATACTGAGGCCTCAGGACCCGTGCTCCACGTGGATACTGAAGCCAGGACCCGTGCTCCACGTGGATACTGAAGCCAGGACCCGTGCTCCACGCGGGCACTGAAGCCAGGACCCGTGCTCCACGCGGGCACTGAGACGCCAGGACCCGTGCTCCACGCGGGCACTGAGACGCCAGGACCCGTGCTCCACGTGGATACTGAAGCCAGGACCCGTGCTCCACGTGGATACCGAGGCCTCAGGACCCGTGCTCCACGTGGATACCGAGGCCTCAGGACCCGTGCTCCACGTGGATACCGAGGCCTCAGGACCCGTGCTCCACGTGGATACCGAGGCCTCAGGACCCGTGCTCCACGTGGATACCGAGGCCTCAGGACCCGTGCTCCACGTGGATACCGAGGCCTCAGGACCCGTGCTCCACGTGGATACCGAGGCCTCAGGACCCGTGCTCCACGTGGATACCGAGGCCTCAGGACCCGTGCTCCACGTGGATACCGAGGCCTCAGGACCCGTGCTCCACGTGGATACCGAGGCCTCAGGACCCGTGCTCCACGTGGATACCGAGGCCTCAGGACCCGTGCTCCACGTGGATACTGAGGTGCCAGGACTTGTGCTCCAGGAGCTTCTCAGATCTTCAAGTCCACATTTGTCAACAGGGTCAGATGTCTTTGAGTTTCCTGATACAGAACCCTTCTTTCCTCTGTCTCCTGGAAAACTTTTGATCCGTATGCCTTGGGAGAAAAAGAGGAGGATTAATTCAGCACCAAGTCAAGACCGTTCTCATCCAATGTCCCATGTCAAGTTGGTTTCAAAGAAGATCATTTCTAGTCCATTACTAGAACTTAAGTCAGAGCTCTTAAGTTTGTAGCTTCAGAATTCTTACGAAACATCTTCATTCTGAAGGTTGGGTAGAAAGGAGAGGAGAGTGGAAAGTACCGCTTTTAGCTGAGTGGCTAAAAGCCACTCAGTGACTAGGAGCACCTAGTCATAACAGAGGAGTACCAGCCATACACAGAGGCGCACCTGTCATACACAGAGGAGCACCTGTCATAAACAGGAGCACCTGTCATACACAGAGGAGCACCTGTCATACACAGAGGAGGACCTGATCATACACAGAGGAGCACCTGTCATACACAGAGGAGCACCTGTCATACACAGAGGATCACCTGATCATACACAGAGGAGCACCTGTCATACACAGAGGAGCACCTCTCATACACAGAGGATCACCTCTCATACACAGAGGAGCACCTGTCATACACAGAGGATCACCTGATCATACACAGAGGAGCACCTGTCATACACAGAGGAGCACCTCTCATACACAGAGGAGCACCTGTCATACACAGAGGAGCACCTGTCATACACAGAGGAGCACCTCTCATACACAGGAGCACCTGTCATACACAGAGGAGCACCTCTCATACACAGAGGAGCACCTCTCATACACAGAGGAGCACCTGTCATACACAGAGGAGCACCTGTCATACACAGAGGAGCACCTGTCATAAACAGGAGCACCTGTCATACACAGAGGAGCACCTGTCATACACAGAGGAGGACCTGATCATACACAGAAGAGCACCTGTCATAAACAGGAGCACCTGTCATACACAGAGGATCACCTGTCATACACAGAGGAGCACCTGTCATACACAGAGGAGCACCTGTCATACACAGAGGATCACCTGATCATACACAGAGGAGCACCTGTCATACACAGAGGAGCACCTCTCATACACAGAGGATCACCTGTCATACACAGAGGAGCACCTGTCATACACAGAGGAGCACCTGATCATACACAGAGGATCACCTGATCATACACAGAGGAGCACCTGTCATACACAGAGGAGCACCTGATCATACACAGAGGATCACCTGATCATACACAGAGGAGCACCTCTCATACACAGAGGAGCACCTGTCATAAACAGAGGAGCACCTGTCATACACAGAGGATCACCTGTCATACACAGAGGAGCACCTGTCATACACAGAGGAGCACCTCTCATACACAGAGGAGCACCTGTCATACACAGGAGCACCTGTCATACACAGAGGAGCACCTCTCATACACAGAGGATCACCTGATCATACACAGAGGAGCACCTGTCATACACAGAGGAGCACCTGATCATACACAGAGGATCACCTGATCATACACAGAGGAGCACCTGTCATACACAGAGGAGCACCTGATCATACACAGAGGATCACCTGATCATACACAGAGGAGCACCTCTCATACACAGAGGAGCACCTCTCATACACAGAGGAGCACCTGTCATAAACAGAGGAGCACCTGTCATACACAGAGGATCACCTGTCATACACAGAGGAGCACCTGTCATACACAGAGGAGCACCTCTCATACACAGAGGAGCACCTGTCATACACAGGAGCACCTGTCATACACAGAGGAGCACCTCTCATACACAGAGGAGCACCTGATCATACACAGAGGAGCACCTGTCATACACAGAGGAGCACCTGTCATACACAGAGGAGCACCTCTCATACACAGAGGAGCACCTCTCATACACAGAGGAGCACCTGTCATAAACAGGGGAGGAGCACGTAGTCACAGAGGATCACCTGGTCATAACCCGGAGTACCTGGTCACAGTGAGCATCTGAATTTGGTGCTCTGCTCAGATGTGGCCAGACAGTGTACAGAATAGAAAGGGGGTGCTAGCAGGCCAGGCATTTCCGTACTCTCTGAGAGTTGCTTTGGTGTTTGCTGGGCATGGTGGCAAGTACCTATAATCCTACCTACTTCAGAGGCAGGGGTAGCGGGAGGATGTCAAGTTTAAGGCCAGCCCAGGAAAAGTTAGCCAGTAGGACCTTATCTGAAAAGCAATACAACAGAAGGGCTGGGGGCGTACCCACATGGACATTGCACCTGGCGTGAGTTAGGCCATCGCCACTCCAAGAAGCCCCAGCACAACAGCACCCCAGTGAAGTACAAGTCTGACTTTCAACTTTAAGTTGTGTGTGTAGGTGCAGGGGGGAGCAGGGGGTGTGGAGGCCCTGGAGACTGAACTCAAGGGCCTGGGCGCTGTCCCTGAATGTGTTTGGTCAAGGCTAACACTACCACGTGAACCCCAGCTCCACTTCCAGCTTTTTGGTGGCTAATTGGAGGTAAAGGTTTCTCAGATGTTTCTGCCCAGGCTGGCTTTGAACCATG